CAGAAACCCGAACTTTTATTACCGTAAGCATAACTCACTACGGGCTACAAGATGCACGAAACCCCGATTGAAAAGCGCTCCCGCACCTTGGAAGGTTCCCTAGTGAGTTGGTGAGAGAGGTGGAGCGACATGCCCTACGTTTTATCTAAATTACTACTGTTTTGATAATTATTTCGTTATAATTATGAGTTACTCTTTAAAACTTGAGAAACGTAGTGTTAGTCAAAGGAAAAACTGCTCGATCGGATCCCATTCTCGCATAACTACTTCTAAGAGGCACTCTCAAACTATTGCTTATTTAATATTCATGTAGAATCTAGTAATTAACTTTTATGATGACTTCGTAACTATAATTTGAAAGGAATTCCTGTTTCGTCAATAACATAGAATTTAAATCCTTTGATGCAGGGATCAGTTTGATAATGAAAAGAACTTCTCATTTCTAAATTTGTTCATGAAATTTTATTATTTATCAGAACACTATTTCATTTGATCGTTGCTGATAAGTAATATTGTAACGACCATAGTAAAACAAAAGGTCATTTTCTCATGCACTGAAAAGATAAGAATTTATATTATTATACTCTACTGTGGTCTGACGGAAACGGCATCACACAATATAAATCTTGTTCTGTCTTGTCTCGTCGTGCTCTGATGAATGCGTATTTCTCTATACTGAAAAATAAACAAATACTCTATATAGTACTTACTTATCGATAAATACTTCAGATGTATCGTACCAGTAAAATTGCATCCTCAAGCCTGTAGTCAATCGTAAGACTATAAAAGTTGATTCGATTGAAATTAGAGAAATATTTCAATGATGCCATAATAGATTCATATTATAGTAAGGTTTTACTGTATCTCAAAAGAAAGATAGAACAAAAATAAGTAGAAAATTTATCGAATGTTCTTTTTTTTTCTTATCTGTAAATACAACAATGATTAAAGAAAAGCAATGAATAAGATCTATGTTTTTTTTTTCAAATTAAAAATTTACAATATTTTAATTACACAACAAATATTACTTGTCTCATACTCTTCGTATATCATTGTACTATTTTTTTGTTTTTTCTTTTCAATATGGAAATCATATGTTGTTTAAGCTTATTGGAAAAAATCAAATTGTATTTATTATTTGAAAAACGAAAAATATAAATTCTATTTTTATAACTTTCTATAATTTTGTTGGATCATCACCATACATCTTTTCAATCTTTACAATTTCTCCAGTTTTAATATTTGCTGTAACGAAAGCAATAGCTTGTGCAACTTTACAAGCATCTGTTTCAAATTGACGAAATTTTGGCATATTATCAAATGCTTTTCCATCCGACCACATATGAAAATGTCCAGCAAAAACACCAAAATAATTTAATAATGTATGTTGACGTAATAAATGTTCAATACGTAAACGTTTAGTTTCACCAAATGCATATATTTCACCTGGAATATAAAATGGTGCACGAAATGGATGATGTTGTAAAAGAACAATAGTTGAAGATTGTTTTTCAAGTTGTTTTAATTGTTCTTCAAGCCATAAAAATGTACCACCATTAAAATCATATAAATCAGCACCAGGCATTGATCCTTTATAACCAAGTGAACCAGCAGCATGATGACGACTACTCCAATCAAGTGAAATGAATACCTTTTTTTTTTTTTTTTTTTTTCGATTTGTTTTAAATAAATTTAAAATAGAAACAAAGAAAACAAAAAAAGATATCAACATACATTATTATTTATTTGAATCCTATAGTTTTGAAACCATGATTGACATGAATGTATTGGATTCCATACTGTTCCATTTGGATAATTAATTATATTTGATTGATTAAGTATATGTTTAAATGTTTCAGCAAATAGTTGATCACCAACAGGTGCTATATCTTCCCATGTTGAATTGTATAACCATTGATCATGATTACCAATTATTGGATAATATGGTACAGTTAAATTATTTAGAACATCACGAACTGTTGCATATTGAGAAGGTAATGCAGAATTAGTTAAATCACCAGTAATAAAAACAGCTTGTAAATTTGTTGTTACATTTTCTGCAAGTTGATTTATTTTAGCTACAGCTGAACGTGCTCTACCTAATGCATTTGCACCTGTATCACCAATATGAATATCAGATAAAAGAGCAAATGTATAATAATCTATATTTTTTGATTTTGCATGAATATAATCAAAAAATAATATAAAGAAAAATATGAATATATAACGACACATAGTTTTGATGATGAATGAAAATTTCATATAAAACTATATTTATTATATGAGAATCAAAACATATGTGATTAATATTAGAATAAAAAAAAATCGATGTTTATTGATTAAAACACAACAACAACAAAACAAATATAAATGGATGAATTATTTATTGATATACTTATGTATTTAATAACAAGAAAAGCTATTAGAGTAATCCCTGTTGGATTAAATTATGAAATACGATATAGTTGTTGTTGCTAATCGCAGAATGATTGTTTTATTCTATATGTTTTGAGACATATTTCTTCACCATAATTTTTTACTTAATCCTTGAGAAATACAATATGCATGTAGTTCATATTTTCGAACGAGATGTTATATTGATATATGGTCTGTAATGGTCTCTGTCTAGTGACTGTTATGGTCTGTGGAATAGTCCAAATTTTTATCTCTATACTTCAACATTCTTTTTAGATCGTATTAGAACTCAGACAAGTACTTGTGATGAAATTCAAGTATTTGTATTATAATTCTTATATCGTATGATATAAGTCCATACTCAAACAGGCTTCTTTGATTCATTTCATCAAGGACTAAAAAAATGCATGTAAACACTTTTTTAACATAAATTTCATTCAGTAGAAATTTGTTTTCAAGTGCAACAAATGCTTGTACTCATTGATAGTTGAAATTTTAAGAACTATTTGCATTTTTTTTTTGCTGTTTATCAACAGATCGAAAGGATCGATATGTCTATAATTTTCTTTTTTGGAACGGAAGACAACAAGCATAATAATTCTATTGAGTTTGTATTTCATACAAGATTTAAAGGCGTTATTGTAAATGTACATCAAGTACAATAGAAGTACCAATCTTATTGTTGGATCATATTGCACAAAAAAGAAAAATCTTATATATTGATATATTTATTTATTAAACGAAAAAAAGGAAAAAATCTAACATCTAGCAAAAACTTCACCGTTATGAATATATAAAAAAAGTCGTTCATCAATAGGTAATGAAATAGGTATTGAAATTTGACGATGTCCTGGTAATATATCATATTGTATTGGTACATTTATTCTTGTATCTGTTATTATACGTTCATTTGGTGATGGTATTAAATAATGTTGACAATAGGCTTGTTGTAATGCTTCAAAATGTTTATAATCATATTGAGGATCTAATCTTTCAACTGTAGCTTTTGCTTTAATGTGATTATGTTCATTAGAATCATCACAATTTATTCGATTAACTTGAACACGAATATTAAGTTTAGAATGATATGGTAAACTAGTATTAAGTGATATACGTGGAGTAGATTTTTTTATATTTGTTGAATCAGATTGATTATAATAATTTTCATCTTTAAATGGATGAACAATTTCATCTTCCCAATGTACACTACGTCCACGAGATTGATATGGACGAGTTGTACTGTATGTAGAAGGCATTGGTATGGTTGTTTCGTTGATACGAACACTTTTGTGATGAGAATTATTAATAGATGGATGAAGAATAAATTCAAAATCACTTTCTTGTTCAGATTGTGAATCAAGAAAATGTTTTGATGTATTTACTTTTTCAGATGTTGGTGACCAATATGATGATGATGGTATTGGAATATTTCTATCACGAAAAGATGATCTTGTTGTACAATATAAATTATTGACCGATTGCTGACAAATGTCGGCGTCTTCTAATGTTGATTGCAAATCGTTAAAACATTCTCTAAATCATAGAAAAAGAAAACAGCAGCATTTATTCAATCTATAAACAACTACTCACTCTGAATCAACATAGAAAAAAAACCTCACAAGTGTATAAAACATTTTGTCTTACGTTATTTAACAATATGACAAAATATACGTATGTCTCATAAAAACAATTTTATTTTATTCTATTCGAATAAAGGATCTTTACATGAACAAAGATATTCATTCACTAGACATAAATATAAAAGCAGTATGGATTGGATTACATTTATGATCCATCATTCAAATCTCGAAATAGGATATCATACAAAAATGAATAGTCTTCGATCAATTTTTATGTGAACTATATTTATTATCATTACTTATTTTTATGTGCCTATGAATATGTGATAAAAAAAAAAAGAATGACCAGCAAAAAAACAAATTTCATTTCGTAATATGTATAATCAAAAAAAGACAAGATCGAATGTCTTTCTGCTCATAACAAAAGATATTATTCTATATTCTAAAAAAAAAAACGAATCTTTTGTTTTTAAATGATTACTTGATAGTATCATCATTGTATCGAAATTCATCATAACATTGATATGAATTCATAATTGATTCAGATTTTGATATTAACTTATGTAGATCTTCATTTGTTATAATATATTCATACGTATATTCTTTTAAACTTTCTTTGCAAGTAAATTGAGACGAATAACAAGCAAATATGATAGATATTTGAACAATGCATTTAGTTTTATTATCGACTTTTTCTTTTTTTATTGTACACCTGTCAGATATCAATCGAGATGAAGAACTCTTTCATTCTAATGAGAAGCGATAACAAGAAGATGAAAAGAACCTATGCCATGAACAACTAGACATTGTTGAGTATAAGTTACATGATTGTTTAGACACATTGTGTTTTCATTTATGGCAATATATATATATATATATAAATTTCAAAGATTATTATTGACGTCTTACCTGTATTAACGATTAAATATTATTATTATTATCGTTTTCTTTCTTTTTTTTTTCCGTCGTAGTTGTTACTTTATAGAATCTGATTATGTTACTGTTTGCACACTTAATATTGATTTTTTTTCTCTCGTTCGTTTTCGTTTACGTTGTGCATAGTTCTGTTCGTAAACTTTTCAATGCGCCACTTTATTTTGAGATATGCATATATATGTTCGTCAATGAAACCGAATTATGTCAAGAAAAAAAAAAAAAAAGATCGTGATGAAGGAACATGTCGACAAGTGTTTTTACACTCAATCTTGGTCAAAAGATATACAGGTGGATTTTTTTCTGATCATCGGATTGAAAGGAATGAGAAAAATTACTGTACAGAATAAAAAAAGAATAAATTGTTGATGTATTTCTTCCAATTGAAAAACCTTGAAAAATATTTTTCTTATAAAACATCACTTCGATAATAAGTATTCCGATAAAGAGAATTATACATGTGCATATTAAATTCGTAGAGTAAATAAGACTCTACTATGACAATATCAAAATCTATACATAATCAATAAAATTGCGATTGTAAATTGACATGTACCTGCAAAGTACTATGTACGAAATTTAATATTACCAATTCATAGAATAACTTTGAACAAGTTATATGTAAGACTAACTGTTTTGAGCATGCTGACTAGTTAGGTATATACACTGATTCTTGTAGTTACTAAAGGGTGGTCCATAAGTTTCGATCCCTCTCTGTAAATTGACGTTATCTATATTAATACATATATAGATAGTTGATTGAAATATACAGTTTTGTAGGGAATGCGAAGAGCTATCATCTGAAAAAAAAATGGTTGAAATTGTGTCGTAGTTATGATCATTTTATTCATGATGACTAAGCATTTAACACGTTGCGTTTTTGCAAAAATAAAATATGCCTCTAACGTCTGAAGGAAAATATCGTTTTCTAGGTATTTTTATATGGTTCGATAGAGCTCTACAAGAATATGAATATCAAAACTAATTCTGATGCTGTTTTCAATACAAAATTTGGAGGAAACCAAAAAGACTAATAAAAATCTCACATATCTTGGATTAAAGAGTATGCTTGTCTTTCGATAACTCTAGCTGATCGACTGCTAATTTATGTTTCAAGATGCAGCGTCACATACTGAAGCTGAAAATAATCTTTCCGAGCTTCATGAGCAGACGAAACAGTCGATCAGCCGACGTTATTGAAAGTTCAGCATACTCTCTCTAATGCAAGATATATGAAATTTTTATTACTCTTTCTGATTTCCTTCAAGTTTTGTATTGGAAACAGCATTAGAATTAGTTTTGATATTCATATTCTTGTAGCGCTCTATCGAACCATATAAAAATACCTAGAAAACAATATTTTCCTTCAGACGTTAGAAGCATATTTTGTTTTTGCCAAAACGCAACGTGTTAAATGCTTAGTCATCACGAATAAAATGATCATAACTACGACACAATTTCAACCATTTTTTTTTCAGATGATAGCTCTTCTCATTCTCTACAAAACTGTATATTTCAATCAACTATCTATATATGTATTAATATAGATAATGTCAATTTACCGAGAGGGGTCGAAACTTATGAACCACACTTTATTTAGAAGTAATCGAATGCATTCTTTTTTTATATACCATAAGAGCATAATACACAAGCAGTATGATTATATCAAATAATCGTGAAAAGAACAAGAAAATTCGAAAATGTTACCGAATTATTTTTATTTAAAGTGTATACTTGATGATAAAGGTTTTTGAAATAGTGTTGATTAAGACCTTCGCGATGATTATCATGTTGAAAGTGTATTCTTATCTCAAAACATATAGGCTTCTATCGAAAGTATAAAATGAAGAAGATTTTTATACTTTTAGCTTTGGAAGTTCGTCTGAAGACACGTGGTACTCGATTTAAGAATGATGAGATTGATCGAAAAAAAAAACAAATTGAAGGACTCTCATTTGTTTATAGTCAAGAAAATAGGAAGCTCAATCTCGTGATCATGTCTACATAAAGGATCGAGATGTACTGATAATGTTTGCAGAAGGAGCTCGAGCCCTTGCTTTTTTTTTTAGCGAAACTCAATCATTTGTAGAGTTGTGGACAGCAAAAAGAGGTCAGGCTCATGGCCTACAATTACTGTAACTACTAATAACTTGGCATTTTGTGCAATTATACTTCGCAGTTAATGCTGGTTATCTGTGTTTATCTAGCTTCTTTACTTCTATAGTTTCTAAGAATTAGTCTTGTTTAGTGAAATTTTGTAACTTCGCTTAGATCACTCTGAAAGTTGGCTTTCGAATTTTGACATGATATTTCCCATAGAGACAGACCTTAACGAGAATACTTTATAATAGAAGTTTCGTATATTTTTATTGTTCCTGTTGTAAGATACAGTTACAGTAGAAGCTTGTTTTTTTTTTATATCACTCATATGCATCGGCAGATTCCATGTATTTATTTCAGGGTAGAAGCAAAACAAAAGATCTGGAACTTTCACAATAACCTAATCTCGTCAAGGTCTGTCACTGTGAAAAGTTTCAAGTCGATATTTGAGCGCTAATTCAAACATTTCAACTTGTATGCAGCGGGCAAAGGTTGATTACGTAATTTAGATCGTTATGGAACGTTACCAAATGTAGATATTTGCACGATAACTAAATTTTTCATATCTACATTAAATAAGTTTTCACATTTGATGGAAAATTAATTTTTACATGTGTTATAATTCAACTTTTATGAAAAAACAGAACCTGTAGGCACTCGTGAAGTAAACAAGGGCTAAAATAATATGTCAAGTTACTTATACGAAATTTTCCAGAAGTTCTGAAACGATTTTTATATTCATCGTTGATTTTGTATTAAATTACTATAGAATTTGTAGTCGTTAACTTTCATAATGATAAGAAAACATCTTAACAATATAATAATGTTTTATTTAATTAATTTTCAAAATTTTTTAAAATTCATATCTTCTTTCAAAAATAAATAGTATCATATAATAGATATTAATGTTCATGAGTTTTATAATTAATTTTAATCACACAAATATTCTATCTATCATTCGTCGACATAAAAAAGCATAAAAACTTTATCCGCTTCTTCTTAGTATTGTCTTGCAACCGTTCAGTATAATCGTCTTGTTGTATTCGAAATTCTACAGGCTAAATATTTGTCAATTTTCTTGAGCGAACAATAAATACTTAATAATGTTCAAAGATAGACTACATTATTTGCTTAGGACTGTGCTTGTCTTGAAAATAAAATTTCACAAATTATTTTGCCTAAAGGTGAAGGATCACTAGACAAACACAACCTCCAAAGAATTCTTTTTTTTAGACGTATTATGGTCAAAATACAAAACTTGTAAAATATTGTAATAACGTATATGACACCTTTTCGATGTTTCTAGAAACCGATCATAATCTCCACTATTTTTGGGTAGAAGTGAGACTTTTCTTTTGGTCAAAGTTTATTTTCTGTTCATCTTCTATAGAACCAGGATACAGAGATGTCCATCGCGGCTGAAAATCTGCCGTTGCCGCGATGGTTTTCAAAAAAATGTTTCGAATTTCACTGCTGTGACCGTATTGGACTACAAATATTGGTACTAGTCCATCAGATTCATTCAGTCTCTGGGTGTTTCATTTGTAAACAATGAAATTCTATCAAATTCATGCAGTTTTTCAATGTCCTCGGAAAAAAAAGTTGCCGCTGCCGCGATGAGTTTTTAAAAATTTGCCGCTGCCGCCACCACGGCAGCGGCAGCGCCGCAATGGACATCTCTGCCGGGATATCAAATTCGATAAAAAAAATTCTAAAAAGTGGTTGGATTCCCAATGCATTCACTCGAATATCATCATCATTAATTTCTTCTTCGTGTTGATTCAATTCTCATTTGTTTTATATCTGCTAAATATTCATCATTATTTTCATATATTTGTTTAGTTATTATTATTGGTAATCTATTTATTTGTTTGTAAATAAAATATCAGTAGATTCTATGCTTTGAGAATTATTTAATGAAAAATTTCTTTTATATAATAAATTATTTATTTCTATTGATATTATTTGTTTTTTTGTAGATGATCACGATTATTATGACAAAGATGAGAAATACTTAAGATTAATTGATATATTTTCACAATCATTTTCAAAACATGTTTTACATAAATAATAATTACAACATAGGCATAAATTTAATAAAGTATTCTTTTTTACATTTTGAACATTTTCCTTTGATTTTGATAGTTAAGTGGAATTAAATCAAGTAATTAGTTATGAATATGTGATTTAGCAATAATTGTTATAAGACATGAACAATACTATACATGTTGATATGATAATGCACCTAAATCATGAAAACAATCAAGATACAAACAAAATTGAAAAGTTTCTTCAATATTTGAATAAGAATTATGCTAATTTGAAAGAAGAATCCTTGATGAATGATTTAAATATAGTATGGTTTTCAATCTATGGATTTATTTTTATATACAACGAGTATTTTTTGTACCATAGGATATTAGAAACTTATCAATCAATATTTTTGACTGAATACAAAGTTTTTCAATTCATTGTAACTATTCAGTGTGGAATGAAATCTT